TCGAGAGCACACGTTACAAGTAATATACGACTGCTGGTAAATGGAAACTTCCCTACTACAGAGATAACAGCAGTGACTGCCACCATCCTAGCAGGAACAGCATCGCTGCTGCCACAGCAGTAACAACCACCCCTAACATCCACCCACGGAAGTGAGCATCTATTCCTCCTATAAATACCCCTCCATCGCCAGGAAATGGGGCATCTCATGTATCGTTACTCTGCCAATTCCTATAAGCCCTGAATAACACACACACACACACACACACCCCAACTCGTGATAGATTCATACTTGGGACATTGCTACCTAGCTTGGTCTCTACTTTTGCTAGCAGTAGTACCCATACAGTGATCCTGTAACACCCCAAATTTCTAACAATTTATAAAACAATCTTATAATAAATAAATTGTCAAAAAAAAATTTTATTTTTTTTACAATTATAATAATAGAAATATTGCGGAAGCTAATCTAAATCTAATTTGGGGAATGTTACCGCCGCACCTGTACAATGGATAGGTGCAAGGCTAAATTTATTACATTAAAATAAAACCAAAGACTAAAACCCAATAATATTCATATAATTAACCTATTTCTAGGGACTAGGATTACATATAAATATAACCTATAACTCCCTATGGATTAGGATTACATACAATGTATTTCATATAAATAAAGTATCCTAATAGAACATAGGGATTATGATTACATATAACAAACATAAAACTACCTAAAGATTAGGATACATCCAATAAAATTTCATACACAACAAATCTACAACCACCTAGAGATTAGGATTACCTGGTCTCCGTTTTTGCTAACTTCTAGAAAAAAAGAGTAATTTGGGGCAGAGAACCGGTTGGTAACCAAAAGAATATAAAATAAATTAAACTAAGTTTTTGATCTAAGAAGAGAGAATAGTATAGGAGAAATGTTGAAGAGTGAATTGGTTTGGTTAGGCTAGACCTCTATTTATAGTTGAAGTTTTGGGCTTAGATATGGGTTTCGTACATTTATTTCCTTTTTCTTTATTGATGTATTTGACTCAGATATTGGCTCCATACATTACTGACTCAATGCTGACTCATCGTATCTAAACAATTTATGTTTGTTGACTCACCATATCTAAACAATTTATCAATCAAACATTACTAATCAAACATTAATACATAAATCATCAATCAATTAATAAATCAAATAATCATAATTATCGCACAAAATAATAATTTTATCAAAGGTAAAATTAATATTACATTTTGTTATCTATCACCATAATATATATATATATATATATATATATATATATATATATATATATATATTATTACTACTAATTTATAGTTTATTATTATTATTATTTTATTAATAAAAATATGGGGTATTACATTCTACCCTCCTTAAAAGAAGTTTCGTCCTCGAAACTTAAAAGTTTGAACTCCTCAAATTAACTAAAAGGCATAAGGTTAAAGTTAATAAAAAATATGGGGTATTACATTCTACCCTCCTTAAAAGAAGTTTCGTCCTCGAAACTTAATTTTTTTTTTTTGAAACCCCCATAAAAAAAAAAAGCAAACAACAAAAGAGTCATGCATAACCAAACAAACAAGGCAACATAGAATACAATAAATTTAAAACACTACAAATTAATAAATTGTCAACTTTAACCAAGCTAAAAAAAAAAGTTTCGAAACTGAATATCTTCTTTAAACAAATAGAAATTTTTATTGCATATATTATCTTTCATTTGTTAGAAAAATTTTAATCAATTCCAGAACAACTCTAAAAGAAAGTTAATTACTTTTATAAAAATAAGAACGAGTTACTAAAGATAGCGTATAAAATTTTTAAAGAATAATATCAATAATAATTTTAAATCACAAAATAATTCCAAACATATAATCATCAAAAGTTCAAAGAAATAAAACATATTTAAAGGATATGAAAAATAACCCTTCACTACCCGCCTCTCTCGATTTATTTATTTATCTTATGTCCTATTATTTTATTTCCTAATTTTTTTTATTTAACTCAGGGATCTTTGATCCCTCAAGTCAGTATCAAAAGCAAACCCTAAGCCGAACCAGGGGCTCTGATACCATTTTGTAACACCCCAAATTTCTAACAATTTATAAAACAATCTTATAATAAATAAATTGTCAAAATTTATTTTTATTTTTTTTACAATTATAATAATAGAAATATTGCGGAAGCTAATCTAAATCTAATTTGGGGAATGTTACCGCCGCACCTGTACAATGGACAGATGCAAGGCTAAATTTATTACATTAAAATAAAACCCAATAATATTCATATAATTAACCTATTTCTAGGGACTAGGATTACATATAAATATAACCTATATCTCCCTAGGGATTAGGATTACATACAATGTATTTCATATAAATAAAGTATCCTAATAGAACATAGGGATTATGATTACATATAACAAACATATAACTACCTAAAGATTAGGATACATCCAATAAAATTTCATACACAACAAATCTACAACCACCTAGAGATTAGGATTACCTGGTCTCCGTTTTTGCTAACTTCTAGAAGAAAAGAGTAATTTGGGGCAGAGAACCGGTTGGTAACCAAAAGAATATAAAATAAATTAAACTAAGTTTTTGATCTAAGAAGAGAGAATAGTATAGGAGAAATGTTGAAGAGTGAATTGGTTTAATTAGGCTAGACCTCTATTTATAGTTGAAGTTTTGGGCTTAGATATGAGTTTCGTACATTTATTTCCTTTTTCTTTATTGATGTATTTGACTCAGATATTGGCTCCATACATTACTGACTCAATGCTGACTCATCATATCTAAACAATTTATGTTTGTTGACTCACCATATCTAAACAATTTATCAATCAAACATTACTAATCAAACATTAATACATAAATCATCAATCAATTAATAAATCAAATAATCATAATTATCGCACAAAATAATAATTTTATCAAAGGTAAAATTAATATTACATTTTGTTATCTATCACCATAATATATATATATATATATTATTACTACTAATTTATAGTTTATTATTATTATTATATTATTATTATTATTATTATTTTATTAATAAAAATATGGGATATTACAGATCCATATTCCCTCACAGGGAACATATTGGGCTTATAGAACCCAATAGTACACAACCCATCACCTTTCAACTTCAAATAATACTCATCTTTAACACGAGAAACTAAAAGCTGCAATAGAGATTTACCAAGATATGCCAATTGTTGTTTCTTCCCAGTCCCAGTCCCATGCGAACGCCCTTTGCCTTGTTTCTGGCTTTGTGTCAAGGTTCCAAGATGACTAGATGATTTTGGAGTCAGTGCCAATGATACAATTCCATTAGAGCCATGAGATGAAATTGCTGAAGATTCTAATTGTAAGGTGGATCCAATGGTAACACCACCAATGCTGGATTGAAATGGTAGATTGGGATCAGACAGTGGACGAACCAAAAGAGAATGGTGACTCAAAAAGCCAAAATGACTCAATGGCCAAAGATTATTTTGTTTCAGTAGAATGCAAGATTAAAATTTATTTGTGCCACATAGACATATATGCATGCATACATGTATGTACGTACATGCTTCAGAGTGTATTTATGAATTATTTGTCCAATAAATTTCATGTTTGAACGTTACAACTCAGTATTAGTTAGTCCAGCATTATGCAAGAGCTACAACACATGATCGAAGGCTCAAATTTAAAACAGTCTTAAAAGTAGCAACAAAACAATCTTAATTTGCAGTAATAATGCTAGTCTTAACTTCCGTCCATAAATAGAATACTTAAGGCAGTCTTCCAAGTTCCAACATAACAAATGAATTTTTTAATCAATCAATCATAGTACCTCCAAGATGACTAGATGATGTTGGAGTCAATGCCAATGATACAGTTCCATCAGAGCCATATTTCCTAGGCCTTCCTCTCTTCCTTTTGGCAGGTTCCCCAGGTGGAGCCCCAGAAGGAGCACCCACATTAACAGCATGAGATGAAATTGCTGAAGATTCTAATGGTAAGGTGGATCCAATGGTACCACCACTAACGCCAGATTGAAATGGTAGATTAAGATTTGACTGTGGACGAATACTGGGTGAAACATGTAACTCAGGTTGTGCACAAGAACCAGTTAATCCTCTCTGCTGCATATAGTAAGATGCAGAACCAGAAAACGCTACTTGGTCCCCCAATCCATGCATTTACTTCAAATGCCTTGAGCATCTTTTACAATAAACTTTGACCCCCAATTTCAATACACCAAAACTTATCATCTAGCTCTGTTCTCAAATGCAGTATAGTGACAAATTTTGGAAGAAAAAAATATTCACATATCAGAATACCATAAAATGTAAGGTATGTGACCTCTTCATTATGTGCCACTAGCAGTATGCTTAATTCTATGTAATGAAGTACTCATTATATTTACTTTTCAAGATACGGTTTTTCAAGTATTACCTCTATGCCAGGTGAGTTTCATGTTTATAATGCCACATTCAAGCCTCAATTTTCATCTGGTTTATAATGACACATCCAAGCTTTAATTTTCATCTAGTTTACAATGCCACATCACGAGGCATTTGCCACTCTTACATGGACAAATTTAATGTCAGGTGGAACATTAAAACAAATGTCAAACTAGATATGAGAGTTCCTTTCCAACATCAACGATTATCAAATTTATGATATCAGTAAAGATAAAGAACATTCACTTTTAAAAGGTAAAGAATACAAATCATATGCAAATTTAAGAACTAAAACTAAAAAATAATACCACTATTATAAGGACAATGTATATTTAAGCCTATTTGAAACAAGATACATGTGAAAAAATGCAGTTCTTAAATCTCCACAGTCCATACAAACGCTGTAATGTAAGCCTGTAATGGGAACAAAGATGCAAACAAATAAAATAAATACAGTCCAAAAGACATAAATAGAGGAGCACTGTTATTGCTACAAATCTCGCAGATCACACTGAAAACAATTACAAAATAGTTGGCAAAATATCATAATCATAGTACCAAAGGTACAAGCTGTTTATGAAATGAGACATATGGCTTTAGCTGATTTGAAATCACCAGGCTTTAGATGCTTCGCTTGTTGATTTAGGCTCTATGTTCTTCCTCAAAAATTCAGAAAACCTTACAGTAGTAGCACTCCCTCGTTCTAGGCAGTGAAGATAATCATCCACTTGAAGAAAATTAAACAGAAAACTATTTAGATCACACATTAGAAAATTAAACCTATACAAGCAAATTCTATGAAACAATGTGCTAAAGTACTAGGCCAATTCTGGAAAAAAAATAGAAACGTATAAAACACTAGGCACGACCAACTTTCTAATTGAAGGAACTAACTAGAAAAACGTTAAGAGTGGAAGAATACCTGACATAGCACCCTGCGTAACAAACCCACCTGCAATGATCCCTCTGGTAGGACTGAAAGAATTGCATTTGGAAAAACTAAATAGGCAAATGCTTTCATTTTCTGGCATAAGATAAAAAGGCACTAAATTAGTTGTGTACAAGCAGCAATGAACCCAGGCCTCCAACTTCAAAATTTGTTTATGCCACAGGAACATGAAAATTATTAGAGAAATATAAAATCATTAATGTAGCCTCACTCAATGGCTTAAACTTCTGGGTTGAATTGGTTCTTTACATGGCATCAGAGCCGATATGTAAAGAACCAATTCAACCCAAAAACTTAAGCTATTGGGTGAGGGCCTCTTTAATGATTTATATTATTCTCTAATATGCCCCCTCACAAGAGAGTCCATTGGGCTTGAAATGTGAATAATACATCAGGCACAACCTATCTGTGCTAAGAAATTCCACAAAGAAAATAAGGGGCTGCGAGGATCGAACCTGGAACATTGAGGCTCTGATACCATGTAAAGAACCAATTCAACCCAAAAGTTTAAGCTATTGGATGAGGGCCTTTTTAATGATTTATATTATTCTGTAACACGATATGACTAAGTGGTCATGAGTTCGATCCTCACCGCCCCTATTCTATTAATAAAAATAATTAAATATTATGGAGTTTCTTAGCATAAATAGGATGGGCCTGATGCATCATTCACTCTTCAAGCCCAATGGGCTTTTGTGTAAGGGGGCGTGTTAGAGAAATATAAAACCATTAATGTAGCCTCACCCAACAGCTTGAACTTTTGGGTTGAATTAGTTATTTTCTTTAAAAAAATAGAAACAATTATACAATAGTTATGGGCTTATGCATAAAAAATATCATTTGCAGGTCCCGCTAAACCTTACAGCATGTGACTAAATATTTGGAAGCACTAACATAAGTGCATGAACTTCTATAAGATCAAGCAAGCGTTGACTGTTGGATGCATAATTACTAGTCCCAAATCCAAAGAGTTAGCTTCTAGTACAAAGCTGGAAAGTTGGACATGCCCAAGGCAAAGATGGTTTGGAAGTTACAAGGCAAATTATAATTCCACAATCATGAAGCTAAAGACTCCCAAGTTTTTGACATGGATGAATAAAGATCTATGGGACTTGCATTGCAAATGAACTTGGTATTACTGAACTAAGTTTTGGGACAAAGTGTCTACTCAAATTGTAGGAGATAAAGGCAAAATGTTAAACACTGCAAATTTATCGGAAGGTAAACAATGTTATGCTAAAAAAATAAAGAGGAGGTTGTTTATGTTTTTCTGTAAGAGCAGTTAAGTTGCTGAGACCTCAAAGGGGGTTAAAGTAATTTACTCAAACAAATAAAAAAAGCAAAAAAAAATGAAAGGAGTTAGCCTAGTAACATTAATGATGATCGTATAACAGATATAGTAACAACAATAACTAAAAGATAAAAATATTTAAACATTTTAACTATTGTCCACAGCATAGTGTATTTATAACACTATTGTCCAAATGAAGTAAATACTGAACAAATTTCATTTAGCTGACTAAATTCAACGACATAAGGTTAACACAAAATAATACTTCAAATTGACAAAAAAATATTCTACTAACCTCCTCTTCAAGTTCAGTTGGGTCCAATATAATACAGCTACTATCTGTTACACAACAACATATTGCAACTATAGAGACAAGGATAAGAAATCATAATCGTTTCACAAAATGAAATCATATAAGTAAACCAAAAGACTATAATCATAGAAGTAAATCATAATTGTTCAACGATTCATCAATTGGTTCATCCACCTCTGTCTGAGGCACCTCGTTCTGGTCTATCGCTTTGGATCGGCGAATAGTTAGCTTCAACGAAAACGTGCGAAAAGCCTTTTGAATTTTGATAGCTGCTTTTGCTTCATGCTGCTCATGGATCAATTTCCGGAGCAAGCGCGTTATGGTCTCGCATGTGGTGTTCATCACTGCAAAACCAAATTTCATCTCTGCAAAAATAGAGTGAAGTGATTGCTGGTGAGTGGCATTGATGGAAGGAGTCGTCATGGAGGGTGAGATCGGCAATGAAAGCACCAATTGATATGTTTTCTAGTGTCAAATTGATATGTTTTCTGATGTTCCTCTCTTCGAGGGAGAGGGTCCTCCTCTAACTTCAAAAGTTAGCCAAAATATTCCTTATTCATTAACAATACGATCATAGTCTTTATACACCCAAACTCCTACCAGTAACATAAAATGAAAAAAAACGCATACAAGCAACACTCACAGAATCTACTAGCAGAATTTCATAACCAAAATGAAGAAAAGAAGAAGTGGAAGAAGTGTTTTATCTGAATAATACTTTCTTGATTCATTGAGAGACCCAATGGGTCCTTTTTATATTGAGTACATCCAACTACCTCAACTACTTTAATAAATATACAACCACCAACTACATCAATAAATATACAACTACCAACTAAATATACAACTACCAACTAAATATACAACTACCAACTACATCAATAAATACTATCTAGAATATTCTACACTCCTCCTCAAGTTGGGAGATATATATTGATCATTCCCAACTTGCTGATCAAATTCTCAAAGGTCGGCTTAAGTAATCCTTTGGTGAGGATATCCGCCGTCTGTTCCTTGGTAGGTATATATGTCACGCATACACTACCGTCTTCTAATTTCTCTTTGATAAAGTGACGATCAACTTCCACATGTTTTGTTCTGTCATGATGAACAGGATTTTGAGCAATGCTGACAGCAGCCTTATTATCACAATATAATCTGATAGGTAGGGAATAAGAGATCTTCAACTCCTCCAGAAGCCTTCGTAACCAAATTCCTTCACAAATAACATGGGCTAGAGCCCGAAATTCCGCTTCTGCACTACTTCTTGCAATAAGAGTTTGTTTCTTACTTCTCCAGGTCACAAGGTTTCCCCAGACATAAGTACAATATCCTGAAGTAGATCTTCGGTCCATTGCAGAGCCAGCCCAGTCTGCATCTATATAGATTTCAATCATCCTTTTGTGCCCCTTTTTAAAGAAAATTCCTCGACCAGGGGTATTTTTGAGGTATTTGAGAATTCTATAAACAGCACTAAGGTGTTTTTCCTTAGGAGAATGAATTGGCTAACCATGCTCACAGCAAAAGCAATATCAGGACGAGTGTGAGACAAATAGATTAATTTTCCCACTAGTCTCTGGTACTGCTCCCTATCAACATCTTCCCCGTCCTAAACTCCCATCTTGATATTAGCTTCAATTGGAGTCTCTGCCGGCTTGCACCCAAGCATACCTGTTTCTTGCAACAGGTCTAGAATGTATTTTTTCTGAGTTAAAGAAATTCCTTCCTTACTCCGAGCAATTTCCATGCCAAGGAAATATTGAGAGATCCAAGATCTTTTAGTTCAAACTGGTCAGCTAAATATTTTTTTAAAGAAGTTATCTCCTCGCTATCATTACCAGTGACAATTATGTCATCAACATAAACGATCAGAATAGCAATTCTTCCTTTGTCGGAGTGTTTAAAAAATAAAGTGTGATCAGTCTGAACTTGGGTGAACCCTCTTCCCTTAATAGCTTGAGTAAATTTCCCAAACCATTATCTGGGAGATTGTTTAAGTCCATAGAGAGACTTCTGCAACTTGCACACAGAACCATCCCCTTTTTCAAAACCAGGAGGTGGATCCATGTAAACTTCCTCATGGAGATCACCATTCAAGAAGGCATTCTTAACATCTAACTGTTGCAATGGCCAATCAAGGTTGGCGGCAAGAGATAGCAGAACGCGGATAGTGTTAAGTTTGGCAACAGGAGCAAATGTCTCCTGATAATCTATCCCATGAGTCTGAGTAAATCCCTTAGCAACTAATCTGGCCTTATACCTATTGATGCTATTGTCTGCATTGAATTTTATTGTGAACACCCACTTGCAACCAACAGTTTTCTTTCCTTTAGGTAATGTCACAAACTCCCACGTTCCATTTTTTGTAAGTGCATCCATTTCTTCTAATACTGCATTCCTCCATTTTGGGTCATCAAGTGCTTCTTGGATATTTTTGGGTATCCTGGTACTATCTAACATAGTGTTGAAAGCACGAAAACCTGGAGACAACTTTTCATATGAGATATAATGGGAAATAGGATGAGCAGTGCAAGATTTAGTACCTTTCCGAAGAGCAATAGGCATATCAACGTTGGCTGTACTAGTACATTCAAGTGGGTTGCTGAAACAAGGACTCGAGTCAGGATCCTGGCAGTCTAGAGTATCTTCATGTGTTTTGCGCCTGCTGTAAAATTTTCCCCATTTACCAGGAGGATCACAAGGAGGATCATTAGATTCAGGTATAGTTGCTCCCCCTGTTTCCTTCCCAATAACTCCACCTGTTTCCAAAGGCCAAGGTAAGACAACAACATCATTTGGTTTCCCAGGCTTATCTTCATCCATACCAATACCTATAGACTCCCCCTGAAGAGAAGTCGGGGAAAAAAAAGATTGTGTCTCGTAAAAGGTAACATCCATGGAAACAAAAACCTTACGGAGAGAAGGTGAGTAACACTTATAACCTTTTTTATTAGGGGAATATCCTATGAAGACACATCTGATGGATTTAGGGTCAAGTTTGGACCTTTGATGTGGAGGAATATGCACAAAAACCATACAGCCAAATATTTTGGGAGGAAGAGAAGAAAGGGCACTGAAAGAGGGAAAAGATTTAGTAAGACAGGATAAAGGAGAATGAAAATTTAGTACCCGAGAAGGCATCCGATTAATAAGATAACAGGCTGTCAAGACGGCTTCCCCCCACAGATATTTAGGGACATGCATCGTGAATAAAAGAGCTCGAGCAACTTCAATTAGATGTCTATTTTTCCTTTCAGCCACCCCATTTTGTTGAGGGGTGTTAGGACAAGAACTTTGATGAATAATTCCATGCTAGTTTAGGTAATCTCCAAGAACTGAATTAAAATATTCAGTACCATTATCTGTTCGCAGAATTTTGATAGAAGTCTGAAATTGAGTTTGAATCATAGCATGAAAGTTTTTAAAAGTGGATGCTGCCTCAGACTTATCTTTTAAGAGATATACCCGACATGCCCTAGAAATGATCATCAATGAAAGTAATAAACCAACGAGCACCCGAGACATTTTTTTCACGAGCAGGTCCCCAAATATCACTATGAATCAATGTAAAGGGAGAAGATTCATGATATTTCTTAGGAGAATAAGTGACACGAGAGTGCTTTGCAAGCTGACAAATATCACAAAGAAGGGAACTTGGCTTTTTATTGATAAATAAGTTCGGCAATAACTTCTGGAGATAAACAAAATTTGGGTGTCCCAACCTACGATGCCATAACAAAACATCATTACAGTCATCTGATAAACATAAAGAGTGGTTCGAAAAAATCCTCTTTTCACAATGAACATCTGTAAAATAGTATAGCCCTTCTTCCTCTCTAGCACTGCCAATCATCATCCCCGAGTCCTGTTCTTGAAAGATACAAGCATTTGCAGAGAACTTAGCAACACAATGCAACTCAGCAGTAAGTTTGCTAATAGAGATGAGATTACAAGTAAGAGAGGGAACATGAAGTACTGAGTTCAAAATAATATGCTCAGAAAGTTTAATGGATCCCTTTCCCGCAATAGTAGAGAAATTCCCATCAGCTGTTCTTATTCGTGACGGGTGATAGTAAGGGGTATAGGAGAAAAATAAGGTTGCATTACCTGTCATGTGATCAGAGGCCCCTGAATCAAGGATCCAACGATTACTACGTTTAACATGGAATGTCATACCTTTTTGAGCAACATGACTAGTTGCCTCAGCAGGTTGAGACATCAATTTCTGAAAAGACGAATTTTCAAAATTTTCAACGTCTATGGTTTTCTACAACAGGTACCCAGAAAAAAGTTCCTCCAAATACAATGAGAGCAATCTTGACTACAGTGAAACAGTAATTGCTACAGTAATGAACAGTACTGCTAGAGTAATGAACAGTACTGCTACGGGTCTTCTGTGGGCTGGCTCAGAATCTTGTTCTGAACCTAATGGTGGCCTTGGTTTCGTGGTTGGAGGTGTCTAGGTAAGGATTCTGGCTTGGGCAGTGGCTAAAACGAAAAAAAAAGGAATAGGAAAATGACTTAAAATTAAATCAGAACGGGGAAGAGACTGGAATATAACCAGCTCTTGATACCATAAAGAAAAGAAGAAGTGGAAGAAGTGTTTTATCTGAATAATACTTTCTTAATTCATTGAGAGACCCAATGGGTCCTTTTTATATTGAGTACATCCAACTACCTCAACTACTTTAATAAATATACAACCACCAACTACATCAATAAATATACAACTACCAACTAAATATACAACTATCAACTACATCAATAAATACTATCTAGAATATTCTACATATTCTACAGAAACAAATTAGGAAACATAATGAAATTAGTAAATAACTTCTTATACTGCTTCCTCAATGAGAGGACTAATTGATTTAACAATATATTCTAAGCATTCTACAATATACTGACAATATATTTTAAGATATCCTATCACTGGCAATAAATTACTCTTCAATGAAAATGACTGTGGTGTAGGTAAGATATGGATATCTACTTAAGATAGATGGTTAAGTAATGACTCCAACATTAGAACCTTACGGTTCTTGAAAACTATATGATCTTAGGAAAATCATGGAGTTTGCCAGATAAGTGTGCGCTAGATTTAAAAAATAAGCTGTTATGATTTCTGGGTAGTACACATGGGTTCAAAGGGGCTTCTTTTGAAGTCTGTTTGTAGGTAACTATGAGGAAAAGTCCAGTTAACTTTATCAAATGGTTTTTTTTTTTAAGTACAATACAATAATTAGTGTAAGACATGATATGTCAATTGGTTGGTTGATTAAAGAATGGAAAAGTCATGAATCCTATGCATATGCTAATTTTCGGT